GGTTTGCTGATGGCTTCTGAGTTTCATAAGCAACAAAATCACAAACTCAGTGTCCTCGGATACCCTTGTGTATCTTCACATTGTGTAGAACAGGGGTGCCCAAACTCGGTCCTGGAGGGCCGGTGTCCTGCAGAGTTTAGCTCCAACTTGCCTCAACATACCTGCCTTTAAGTTTCTAGTATGCCTAGTACAGGGGTGTCCAAACTCGGTCCTGGAGGGCCGGTGTCCAGAAGAGTTTAGCTCCAACCCCAATTAAACACACCTGAAGCAGCTAATCAAGCTCTCACTAGGCATATTAGAAACTTACCAGCAGGTGTGTTGAGGCAGCTGTGCTGGTTTCATGTCTCTCATATCAGTAGTATAACAGCCTCCGTAACTAATTTGAACCATTTGGTCTGTTTTAACTGCACAGTTGTGACATTTCTTTTATATAATAGTTCAATAAAGAGGAAGATGAAATGTAATATTTCATGAAGAGTTCAGTTCCAACCCTAATCAATCACCAGCTAATCAGGGTCTTTCTAGGTTTACTTGAAACTCCCGCAGGCAGGTGTGTTGAGGCAAGTTGGAGCTAAACTCTGCAGGACACTGGCCCGCCAGGACCGAGTTTGGGCACCCCTGGCCCTAGTAGGCAGTTATTCTTATTTTACTTGATCTCACAGCTGCTTTTGATACCGTTGATCATGGTATTTTATTGCAGCGTTTGGAAGATGTTGGTGTTAAGGGTACTGCCCTAGAATGGTTTAAGTCGTATCTAAAAGATAGATCTTTCTCGGTTTGTCTTGGAGATCTGTGTTCTACATCAGCTAAATTACATAGTGGTGTGCCACAGGGGTCTATACTTGGGCCTATTTTATTTTCATTATATATGGGCCCTTTGGGCTCAATTTTTCGTAAATATAATATTATGTATCATTTATATGCAGATGACAAACAGTTATATATCCCAATAGATCCAAATGTTTCTCAATCCTTTGATGGACTTGCTCAGTGTTTAGGTGAGATAAGAGCCTGGTTGGCAAGCAATTTTCTTCATCTTAATACAAATAAGACTGAGTGTGTTGTTTTTGGACCTTCTTCTGCTTCTAAGGAAATTATAAGTAGGTTGGCCGCTATGAAGATAAGTGTTTCAGATCATGTTAAGAATTTGGGGGTTATAATGGATTCAACTTTAGTTTTAGATAAACAGGTTACTAGTGTTGTGAAGGCTGCCTTTTATCAACTCAGAATTATTTCTAAACTTAAAAAACATTTCTCCCTTTTAAGGACCTAGAGACTATTATTCATGCCTTTGTGTCATCACGCATCGATTACTGTAATTCTGTATATATAGGTATTTCACAGGGTCAATTATCTCGTCTTCAATTAGTACAAAATGCTGCTGCCAGACTTTTGACTCGCACAAAGAAGAGAGAGAGAATTACTCCAGTTTTGGTTTCTTTACACTGGTTGCCTGTAGAATTTAGAATTGAATTTAAGGTTTTGTTGATGGTTTTTAAAGCGTTGCATGGCATTGCCCCAAAATATATTGTTGACCTATTGATTCCTTATCAAAATTCAAGAAACTTGAGATCTTCGAATCAGATGATTCTTTATGTTCCCAAAACAAGATTAAAATCAAAGGGTGATAGGGCTTTCGCAGTGGCTGCTCCCCGATTATGGAACCCTCTCCCAATGCACATTAAATCTTCCCCATCTGTGGATGCCTTTAAGTCTAGATTGAAATCGTACCTTTTTGGTAGAGCTTTTAGAATTGACTAGAGGGACCAGGTTTTATATTTTAATGTTGAATCTTGATTGTGTGACTGTATGTAATGTCGCTGGAAAGCACTTTGGTCAACGGCAGTTGTTTTAAATGTGCTATAGAAATAAAGTTTGTATTGTATTGTAGTAAGAGCTTGATTAGCTGGTTCAGGTGTGTTTAATTGGGGTTGGAGCTAAACTCTTCAGGACACCGGCCCTCCAGGACCGAGTTTGGACACCCCTGGTGTGGAAAGACATATGTAAGAACTTTGCCGTATGAATAATTCATGAATATATTTTCAGCTCTCTGCAATGTCCAATATAAATGCACAAGTTTATAATTCCAGTTGTTGCACCTTCAACGTTTTCAAGTTTGCATGCAGGTTTTTAGGACGTTGTGAGCTTTGCTCATTTATCAATGAAACTATGGAAATATTCATAACCTTTATTCGTTTTTATTTAAAACAACCAATCTATTTGTACAGTTTATTTTAAAATGTATTGTCTAATTGCATTAAATACGATATTAAACCAAGTGAAGGATGCAAACAAATGATTTCCGAGCATTTCTCAGAATAACGTAACTTTTTAACTCACTCTCACGATGGGGCCTTCCTGGGAATTCTGTCCGTGTGAACACTTCATGGGAACAGCGAGTCTTCCATATCAAAAAGCTATTTTTCTGATTTCTCCTCATATTGTTGTTTGTTCTGTGGCACAGGGTTTCTGTCAGACAGCCATTACACTGACTGGACGGAAGAGACAGAGCAGACCGCGGGAAATGACACGAGTCTGAGCAGCTGGAGTGAGTGAACCACATCAGACCGAGGAAATGAGCTCTTCTAAAGCGCACAGCTGTCGAATGTGTTGTTCATTTTCTTATATTGAATGCAAAATTCTTCATTCATAAGCAAAAATGGCTTAAATCTCCTTTGTCTTTTCCCCCTTGTTGAATTGGACTCTCTTGGAGGATCCGAACATTTGCTATGAAGTCGAAACACTTCAGAATTCATTATTGCTGTATTCACATAATGTTATGATTACATAGGTACCTTGTGAAGACGTTAAAATAATCATTATTAATATTCAGAGTCATCAGACCACTTCCATATTCATATGTGAGGGACAATTCATCATTTTAACTTTTTGTATATGTTTAAACTTATGTTTTATATCGTATGTAATGTTCTTATTTTCACAAAATGTGTTTGAGATCCAACTTGGAGCCTTGAGATGATAAATACGACACAATACAAATATAAGACGCATTTAAAATGAATGAATCGTGGTACTATTTAAATTAATATTTAAATTTAAAACACGGTTTAATGCTTACGTTGCTTTAAGGTTGTTTAGTCCCTTACGAAAATGAACCAGGTCTTAAAATAAAATAAAAAACATGGTTACTACAGTTAACCACAAATTAACCATGCTACACTAACCATAGTAAAACTGTGGTTATACAAATGGTAATCCATAAAAAATAAAAAATAAAATAAAACATGGTTACTACAATAAAACCACGGTTAATTTTCATAAGGGATTTTTGCTATTGAGCAATATTCTGTCATATTTAATGCATTCTATCAAATAATGTTAATCTAGTGGGTAGTTTAGTTATTATAATAATTACACTTTATGCTTATTCAAGAGGAAATACAACAACTTATTTACTGCAGCATCCAGCATTTAGTCCTTGTGAAATGCTCTTGAATAAAAGTGTTGTTAATGAAAACATGTATATGATGAGATCATGTGACAGATTCAATATTTTGTGCTCGTTTCCATTCAGATAGTTTAGTATGCTGATACTGTAGCTGATAATGCATCAGATTCATCTATTAGCCAGCGATAACAGCACAAGGCAGTCGCGTTTTGATTTCATCTTCTTCCAGTAGATGGCGCCCTACAACACACATTGGCTTTTATAACTAGGCCTAGTTCAATCCTATTGTTACACATCTGTTGTAACAGTCAAGCCTAACATAAAGTCAGACATGAGCACAACAGCCACAGAAAAAGTCGAAACAGGACAAAGACTGTTAGCAATTATATCTCAGCTGTGAATCATAGGAAATGACAAGCATTTTATTAAGAACTACACTTTATTAACTCTTCGTAAACTGGTCTCAGTATCAGACCGTCTTTATATTTAAGCTTGGGTTAGGAACTTATTAACAACTCGATGAGCTTTACTGATACTGAAATCAGCCTATACAGCAGTGTATGCTGCATTGTGCATTCAGCGCGATCAAAACCATGCTTTACATATTCTCAGACCCAAAATTTGAGCATTTGTAAGAAGAAAAATGAATGGCCATTTAATTTTTACTTTTTTTTTTAGCTGTATTGCAAATCATTTCCCTTATTATCGTGTATTTAAGGCTGCATGAATATTCAAATGCATATTAAATGAACACGGAGGTACAGCTGCATTTTATTTCTCGTTCATTTTAACAAGCCTTTTGAAGTTTCCCCAGAGATCCACAAGATATATTTTGTCATTTCTAATGCTTCTTGTAGGACGTAGAAATGTACTCTCTTACACTGATGAAACATTTCAGTGTAGCCTATATAATAAAATGTAAAAACAATAATACAATAAAATGAACATACTGCAATCGTTTTCAGTCAAAGATGCCTATTTATTTTAATAAAAAAAGACATGTTGAAACCGTTCAAATGTGACCGCTTGGAAGCAAAATGCTACACCAAGTTAACTCTTCAAAATATGACATTGCATGTAAAAAAAATAAAATAAACATCTGAAAATGCTAAAAGAGAACAATTAAAAAGAATACAATTTGGAAATGTTTGCATGGAATAAACATGGTAAAAGACCATTCTATTACCTACCAGAGAGACAGAGGAACATTGCAATTAAAGAAAGACTGCCAAGTGCTGGGGTAAATATATATAGATCTATATCTGCTTCATTTGTCAATTTAGATCAATAAAATATAGGCCTCTGGGTACCTACTCTTTCGCTTTTGTCCTAATGTTGCCTGCAAAAATACCAAGAAAAGTGACATCCAGACATCTCTTTTTAAAAAGTACACATTGAGCATTATTTTACATCTGAGCAAGACTGAGAAGTCAATATCTGTTACAAATAGTTATCAAAAAGAAGACTTTCAAATGTTATTTCTGCAAGATGCTTCAACAAGAAAAATGGCTTTCCTGTCTCCAAGCTTATTTTCATATACCATTATATATATAAAATAATGATTAAAAAAATCACTTAAAATATACACCGAGAAATCAAAATAAAGAATAATAAAAAAGCATTCAAAATAAACTTGAACCCAAGATGTTTGAGGAGAAATCAATACATTGATCCTTTTTGCACCAATGCGTCATAATGCAAAACCCAACCTACGGAGATTGTTTCCAGGGCAATGTGTGATCCCTAAAATGTTGCGATAGAACGCCGTGAGGTGTGTCGGGCCCTTGTGTTGCTACATTTTTGGGGACACAAAAGGAAGTAAGGGAGTGACGTAGTGAACACACAGAAGACAGAGGTGCCAAATAACTTAGAATAACTTAGGAACAGGTGTAGGAACGTATGTGTTTGTTTACATGTGGCCATATGTGCGCTTTACAAATGGTCGAGGAACATAATCAGTGCAACGCCTTCGGCTTCGGGAGTGAATTAAGGACAGAAAACAAAAAGGAACGTTCAAACGAGTGTTCACGGGTCTGTGTGAGGGCCTGTGTTGGTGATTGTCTGTTCTCAGTTCAACGTCTCTACAGCAGCGCCTGCAGCCGAGGAGCAGATTCAAGGACCGGGACCCTCTGGAGATTCCGCAGGGGTCAAGAAGTGACGGAGGGGTGAAAGGTTGAGGAATCTAGCAGGCTTCCATCTCTAAAAGGGGGCCTGTAGCTGCTGTCTTTGCTTTGCAAGAGGAAAAAGAAGTCTGTTTTCCTCCTGTAGAACACAAACGGAGAGAAAAACATGGTAAGTTTAATAATCTAATCATACATACATACATACGGAATGATTAGCACAAAATATTTAAAAATATAATTATGTTTTATGTGAATTATCCCTTTAAAATTGTATATTATTATTATTCAGTTTTTAAGGGATATTTCACATAAAAATGAAAATTCTGTCATCATTTACAATGAAAAAAGAATATATATTTTGAAGCGCTTTTTAGTGTTTTTTTTTTTGGGGGGGGAGGCGGTGGCCCAGTGCTGTTTGGATCCCAATGACTTTAATTGTATGGACAAAAACTGCTGAAATATTTAGTTTGGGTGAGGGTGAGTAACTGACAGAATTTTTATTTTTGAGTGAACTATCCCTTTAAGAATTTTAGACCTACTTAAACAAATTAGCCATATTATTATTGAATGTCTAATTCATAGTAACAGTTCATAGTGTACAGTCTCTCAAGAACAATGTGCATGAAAATTGCCTCTGAAAACGTGACAGAAAAAAAAAAAAAAAAGATCTTTTTACCATGCATTGTAATTAGCGTATTGCACATTAGGACATTTAGAGCAAAAACAGATTGCAAGCTTTCAACAAATTGGCACACTCAAAGTACCCAGCATACCATTTTGAAAGAAAAAAAGAATCCCACGTCCAACATTAATCACGAATCGTATTCTCAGAAACCCAGAGTTTTCTATCTCAATCTGTTTGTCCAATCTGAATCCCTTTTGAGATGTGAAATATTAAATGTAACAGACTCTATTTTGGTCGACAAGCTGTATGGGGCTATTTCAGAAGTGCATCAAATGGAATTCCTGATCAAAGTGAGAAGCAGGAATACAGGAGCAAACCTCTGATGGATAGAGCGAGAGAGAGAGAGAGAGAGAGAGAGAGAGAGCGCGCGAGGGAGATGGATAAAATGCCATACTAGTAGTGGGCTCCTCTCTGGAGCGGAGGTCGAATGCAACCTTTTTCTGCGAGATGTCAGTTTTACTCCACAACTCCACCCTGGACCACTTTCACACATAAATACATTCGTACACCCGTATTGAAGGTTTTACCACATGTGGATGAAAGGCAACTACTTTTCCAGGGAGCGCTGACCCTGGTGCCCGACCAAGAGAGAGAAAGAGTCACCGAATAAAATTGAGTGGGGGCGCTTTTATTTACCCCCCCTCTGCCCACCCTTTTCATCCCATGAACTCAAAGCTTCCCTGTGCCCTGCGCCCCCTTCCTGGAGAGCATTTTCCTTCCCGGCAGCAGATGAAAAAGCCTGGCATGCTTTCCTGCCTTTCCCCGCCAGCCTCCTGTTGGAAAGGGAGGGGGTGCGTCTGGGTGTTTGGAGAGGTTAGGACGGTGCCGTCGGGCCAGGCTTTACACTCCACTCCCATACAAATGCAGGGATTCAAGAGCTACTTCCCATTTGCGCTGTGGAATGCCGAGACCCGGCTCGCAGGAAATGAAACGCTCCTCTGTATTCGAGGGCCAGTGCTTCTCTTCGGCTCGGCGGTAGCTTGGCTGTTCTTTGACGTGTGGGAGGTTAAGATAACAGGCATGGCCCTGTGTCACTCAATTGGCCCGCTCACCTCCTGAGGCAAATCAAAAAGCCTGCAGCTGGGACCAACACACCTCCTTCCTTCGGTCTAACCCTTCCCTTTCCCTAAAACCAGAGAAGGTGGCTTTAAGTTCTCTGTGAACAAGAAAAAATATTGTTCTGAAAAACTCTGCTTTGGTTTTATGTTTGCCTCTAAAGTTTGTTACCAGCAGGATCTGAATGGCCTGTTTGCAGCTCAAATTTTTAAAACCACATGTAAGTGCAGTAATTGGTGGGTTCACTAGGTGGCAACACTCACAGTTGCGAAGTTGCTTTCAAATATTTGTCAAAGATGGAAAATGCAAAGAAAAAAATCATTCTTACTGACGGTGCGTTCCAAACGGGATACATCGCCCTCTGAAGGGCACTTCGGAGTGAAAACAATCATGGCCGCCATATTGAAGGGTCGTTCCAAACCGAAGTGCTCAAAACTGGCCACTTCAAAGGGCCCTTTGGAATGAAGGATTTCGAAAGGTACAACTGATGGATACATCGGGCTCCCATGATCCTTTTCACAGATTCTTTACATGATGACGGCGCCTCCGTGTGGGCACGTGATGAAGGGCACTTCAAGAAACAGTTGTTTGGTCCCCTACACCCTTCAAACCTTAGAAGCTCTCACTCCGGAGGGTAAACCCTTTGAAGGGATTATGGAATAGGGATGAACCCTTCTGAATGGAACGCAGGGTGAATTTTGAGTATTTCTGGCCCATTTCCAGTTAAAATATTAAAAAATCCTGGAAATAAATGTACTCAAGAAGAAACACTGCACGAGTTATTAAATATTTCACTTTCTCTCTGTATTTTTTTTTCTTTCTGCACAAACAAGTTAAAAAATATGGGGGGATGGGGGATACCTTTAAGATAGAAATACAGTTTTAAGACATTATTTTTTTTCATTTGCTTATATTTTTTATGTAAAATACATTCTTTAAAAAAGGCTTAATATCTTTCACAGTTTTGCTTTTCAAGAGAATATATCTTGTTTCAAGATGTTTTTGCTGGAAAGTTCATCAAAAAAGACAAACTAATTTAATTTATTTATTTTTTGGCAGTGCGTCTATAAAATCAAAAGAAGTGGAGGGTGAATGGCAACAATGGATGTGCGAAAGATTCCTGCATCTGAATAACTTGAGTTTGATTTTGAACAAGCTGATAAACTCTTGCTACCCTCTATAGGTCAGGTGGAGTAAAAAGCAGTCGATAGTTTGAACAGTTGAGAAATAACAGCAGTCGGAAAAACTAAGCTTACAGGCTTTTTTGGAAAAGCAGCCGTTTCTGCAGACACTTAGCTGTATGTGAGGAACCAGAGAAGCTTTACAATTAAAACATTGGCCAGGAAAGAGAGTACAGACAAAGAGCCCAAATCTGGGTTGTGTTAAGTCTAGTCAGCTGAAAAGGTCCACTTTCACACCAACCTGACTTCGACCAGTGACCTCGTGTTGTAGCACTTGGCTTCATGTCTGGTTTGGCAGCGTCCTTCAAGGAGTCCATAAAAATTCAACAGGCGCTATAACCAATGATATGCTAGGAGGAGGATGGGTTCAAAAAAACCCTGGCCTGAGTAATAAAAACAGCACCTGGATGAAAATCAGATTTAAACAAACCACTTGGTTCAGTCAGCACTTCCTTTGGCCCTGCGACAGTAACATTAAAGAGGGGAAAAACTCCTACACAATTACGTCTGTACAACTGCAAACCAACCGCGGTTGGGTCTTTTCTCCTGCGATCTCTCTTCCGCGTTCTAAAAAGGCTGAGGAAACAATGTTCACCCTCGGAACAACAAAAAAACACCAGGCGAGGGCAGGGGACACGAGAAGGGCGAAGGCTTGGTATTCCAGTGGAGGCCGTGAGTGGGGTCTGCCCACATCTGAGGAGCAGTGGGATGAGAGCCCGGGAACGACGTGCTCCTGCAAAGCCTGAGCTGCAAGCCAGGGCGGCACTATCAAAGAGCAGCACAATGACTGCTTCAAAGGCCTCGCCACCGCTCGCAGTCAGCAGTGGGAGGGAGGAGAGGGGGTTCCGCCTGCTTTCACAATGGGAGCCAGATTTACTCCCTAGGAGAGGAACTCCAGCAAAGCACAGACGACGGCTGGGGCGTGAAAGAGAGGAGAGGAAACGTAGTAGACGCCACATAGTTTACTGATTCCTCTGCTGCTTAGTGTGCTTAGATCCTGAAACCATCGGGCAAAAGATCGAAATGAAAGATCTGATGGGGGCGATTGTGATTTGCATATTAAAATCAACCATTTGTGCAAGTTTTTTTCCTTGTACCCACATACAGGCAAAACTCCCAGACTCTTTTTATAGCACTGAGGAGTCTCTTGGCAGCAAAACACGGAAGGAAACCTCTGGGTTTCCGCTGCCCTCAGTAATATTAAACAGTTTATCATAAGCGACCTGGACACTTTTTCAGGGTTTAGAGTCATGCAGAATTGAATTGAGAATGTCTTTTAAATTCCAATTCAGTCCATGAATGCAAAAATTGCAATTCCAATTTGAATGAGGAAGAATAATCACTAATTGAAATAATTTTTAAAAAATCTTTTACTAGAAAAGAAAAGTTTGTCAAGAAAGTTTTGTGGTGTGAAAAAATAAGTTTAAAAACCATTGAAGTTTGAAAGTTAAAATAGACAGACAGACAGACAGAATTTCATTTCAACTTCCTGTGGGGTGTGGCCAATTCAATTCAAATTAAACGAATGGAGACAATGAAAGGGAGACAATTCTTTGAATTCTACCCAACCCTGACACTTTCTAGGTACCAAAGTTTTTACCAAACCCCAGTTCAGGTCCAAACCTTTTCAATCCAAATCTGTTAAAGCAACCCAAGGCACACAGTTCCGGCTTACTCCAAATGAAAACGGTTTTTAGACACAGAGGGTATCAGTAATTCTGCCATTCATGGGGTTGAGGCAGAGTGGACATTAAGAAGAGACAAGGCGCTCTCATCAGCACACAAGGGACTTTTAGTTTCTCTCTCATGCTTTTTCATCAAAGGCTGACATCTGACTTCTGGCCTCACTCATCAGAGAGACAGAGCTGGGTAAAGATGACCCGATTCGGGCACAGCTGTCCAACAGCACTTTCTTCACAGAGAAGGCCATGCACTCTGAAGTGGTCCATACCTTCAATGGTTTCCCACACGGCCCCCCACTATTGTCAACCTCTGGAATACTGAAAGCTTTCAAACCTTCGGCCAACCACTCCCAAATGTACAGTAAACCTCATATAGGGCCTGCCAACATCATCAGACTTGGGCGAAGAATGCAGTCGCTATAAAAATCAAAAGTGAAACACTGCAGAACAGTCAGCGTAACACAGAGTCAATATCCAGGTGGCAACAAAGCAGCAAGTTGAAATGTGCCAGACTGTGGTGACTCACAACCTTGGCTTCTTTGAATGAATAAGACTACATCTTCAGAGCCAGCTTTCATTAAAAGACCACCATTGTTATATGGCTTGCCCCGTTCCCAATGAAAAAAATGCACAGTGGTGAAAAAGTAACAGCCCGGAGGGCATGTATGCCTCAGCTCAGATAACAATCTCAAAGTCTGCAAATCACAAGGGTTAGTCAGACAAAAGCTCTCACAGCTAAATCTGACAAACAGACCCAGAAGAGGATGTGGAAATGTTGTACGAGCAGGAAAAGTGGGATGTTTGAGGAAGAAAATTCTATAACCTGAAAGTATTCCCATGTACATATTTATTTCAAGGATTATGTGTCAGAAGGCATGTAAAAATAAGACCCAACCTGTCCTTCACACCTAAAATAAAATGGTGAAAACACCCATGAAATTACCTCAAATTCTCCCTGAGAAATCCCCCCTTTTCCATTTAAAAACCAATAGGAGCAATCTTCAAATGCCTTACATATACATAATTCTGTCAAATATCTATTACAGTTTCCACAAAAATATTTAGCAGCACAACTGTTTTCAACATTGATGATAATAAGAAATGTTTCTTGAGCAGCAAATCAGCATATTAGAATGATTTCTGAAGAATCATGTGACACTGAAGACTGGCGTAATGATGCTGAAAATTCAGCTCTGCATCACAGGAATAAATTACATTTTAAAATAGATTCAAATAGGAAAGTTATTTTAAATTCCAATTTAAACGATCCGGTTTTACAATATTTTGTCAAATAAATCCAGCCTTGATGAATTTTAGAGAAGTCTTTAAAAAAAGTGTTTATGAAATCATACTGAATATTAGTGTGTATTTAATACATATTTTGTCTTTGAATTTAATTTTAATATTATATTAGACAGATCTTTTAATTGAATATTTTAACTGGAAAAGCTGGATTTAACTGGATTTTTTTTTGCACTGTTGTATGCTATTATGATCATATCCATTATCAAAAATATTATCACTTTTTTTGTTTAAAAATATTTAAGTGCACACTGTATAATTTGGGAGACGAGTAAATATAAAAGACAAATTTAATGTTTCTCAGTCTGTCGGATCTGCATAAATTGACAAGCGGTGGCAATATTCTCTGCTTCATGTATATTATCATGCTCTGTTGCTTCAAGTGAATTTCAATTGGATATTTTAACTAGAAATGCTGGATTTAACTTTTTTTTTTTCACTGCTGCATGTTATTATGACCCTATCCATTATCAAAAATATTATCACTTTTTTGTGTTTAAAAATATTAAATTTCACACTATATAATTTGTAAGGTGAATAAAAAAAAAAAGACAAATCAGTTTCTCAATCTGCATAAATTGACAAGCGGTGGCAATATTTTCTGCTTTATGTGTATTCGTTTAAGGCTGCCACGATGAATCAGTTGGGGCATACATCCACATTTCGCTTGGCACCGCTAATTATTGGATCGAAGATAGAGCGCCTTTTAGCTGCATTTTCAAAGCTATTGCAGCCCACAGGAAAAAAGAAAGAAAGAAAAAAAGTGCGAACCAGTCCAAATTGTGTTCGGGAGCCACAGGGTAGTGAACTGATCAACCGTAAAACCTTTGTCTTGTAGGTTTTTGGGTAGGACCAGATTTTTCATGGCAAAAAGAAGCAGAATAACAGGATGTGGGGTGACTTAATAAGAGAAGGAAAAAATTGATTTTAAATAAAATAAATTCTCTTACTTACTACTGTACTTAATTCTCATAGACTTTCACCTGACAGAGAGGATTCTCTTCTTTGTTTAGCAAACAAACTTCTTTTAGGCCAGTTGCTAGTTTAATCGCTAGAAAATTAAAACGCACAGCATAAGCCAAATATGCTGGCAAGGGCTTCGTTCATTCACAGGGTTGGCTAGATAACACATGGGGGCCATATGGGTGAATGCTAAAAGAGTTAGCTTACATCTGGGTCGACTCTTTCAATACCATCCCAGTTTCCAAATGTTCTTGAAAAACTGAAAAAAGCACCAGTCCAACATGGCCGTGTGCCACAGGATTGTATGCTGATGCTGCATGCCAAATGTTAAAGATGGAAGAAATGAATGAGGAAAGAAACCTGATAGTGTGGACTTGATGTTCTGAGCTGACTCTGTCGACATTATTCTGTTCTGTGATCTTTCAGACAAATGGTATGCTTGCAAACTGTTCTTGATAAAAAGCACTGGTCTTCTGAAACTACTAATGCGCCACCCAATGCCACAAGCCACACATCAGTCTACAGGGAAAGGGATGTAATGGAGTTCTTAAAACAGAGTTAGGAAAGAAAAATGACTTGTCACAACGATTCATCAGTATGTTCGGAAGAGGAAGCCCTGTAACGTTAGCACACAATCACACGACAGCTTTGGCAATACAACAGTGAATGGTTGATTGGTGAACTCAAAGTGGGCCTTTAGGATTAGTCTCATGTTTTTCAGATTGCTAAGAACCACATTAGAAAATAGGGAGTTTACCACATCATGACTCAATCAGACCAGAGGTATGGAAGAGGCTCTTACCATTGTTCAGATGTACGCCGTTTTCATTCTCTGCCCTGTACCTGCAGGAAATCGTAGCTTTTAATGACCAGGATGTGCCTCCAAATAACACCTAAGTCCATCTCTGGTCTTAGTTGTCAATGTAGGGCCAACAAAAAGAATTTGCTGGCCTATTTAACACATCAACATTGTTCATTAAAGGAACATTTCATCCAATAATGAACATTCTGTCAACATTTGCTCATTCTCATGTCGTTACAAACCTTTATGATTTTCTTTCTTCCACTGAACAGAAAGGGAGAAATTCTGAATAATGTGCTGAACGAATCAATCAGGTTGATTCTTGTGAATTGGATTAAACGATTGAAATGATTTGCCCACAAATTAGTCATATGGAGACATTAAGTTGAGTTTTACTGCATTTTTTGTCATTTGGTAACTTGACGGCCTTAGTACTCATTCCTCAAATTCACCTTTCATGTTCCATAAAGGAAAAAAAGTCATATCCATTTGGAAAAAGCACGAGTGTAAATGAAGCCAGAATTTTCATTTTTGTGTGAGCTGTTCCTTTAACTTGTCCACAACTCGTCTAGACTTGGCGCCAGATATACATTGAATCGTCAAAAGTACAAGCACACATCACTAATGCATTTATAAAAGGGCAAATAGTCAGCAAAGTTAGAAGCACTGTCGGAAGCATGTGGACTTTAAAACAGACTAATCCTAAAGACTTAATTGTGAGGAGAAGATGGAAAGATGGAATGGTGGGGTGGGTGTATTGTTCATAATGTTGCAAACATTACAGATTCAAGAAATATACAGAACAGTAAAACCGCATGACTTGTGGATTTTCAGGCAACCAACAAGGACTTAAATTCATAAATGTACTTGTTGACTATGAAAACATCCTTTTATGATTGAAACTGACTGTGTGAAAGCGTACTGAGAATGCGGTATCCCAACATTAACCACTTACCACCATATTCACAAACTAAGTCCCATAAAGCTAAGTTAGTGCGTACATTAATGAAAGAAAACAAATTACAGGAGGGATAGAAGGTTTAAGAGTCTTACCTGAAGCAGGTTCCTGGATCTTTTCCCGCTTCCGCTTCTTTTTCTTTCCCTATAAAATAGCCAAAGGAATATTTAAAGCATCATCACAGAAGCATGACATTTCTGCCATTTATGAAGTCATAAAAAATTAAAAAATTAAATAAAAATAAGGTCCAATACTCCTTAATTCTTCTGGATTGCGTGGCCTAATTACCACAAAGAATATATATATATATATATATGTTTTTTTTTTAAATAAATATAATTTAAAATAAAAAAAAATAATTAAATTAAATAAGACCAATACTCCTTCCTACTTCTTCTGGACTGCACTGCCTAATCCCCACAAACAAATAAATAAATTATAAATAATTATAATATAAAATAAAGCTCCAATACTCTAATTCTTCTGGATTGCATGGTATAATCACCAATCAGAAAATTAAACAAGAATAAAACATCTGCCCCAGCTCCAATTGACACGACAAACACTCCTCTAAAGTGAGAAGTCTGGACTGCTTTAGGATTCGTAGCTTACCTAAAATCCCCTGGCAGGATGACTATAGGTATAGATAGCGCCGCACTGTCATTTTGCAGTCCAATATGAACCACGCTTTGGTCGCCTGCTGTAAAGTCTGATAATCCACTTATTCAGTCACTAATCTGTGTATTCTAGCCCTGGCTGACAGAACCAAGAAGCCCAGAGCAGTAGAAACGTCTATGACGGAGCAGGGATACACTCAAAATCCTTAGCACTAATAAATACAAGTGTGCTCCCACCACTAATATATAAGTGGAGATGAAAGTTCATCTGTCTTTGAAGTGTTTCTTTTTAGCTCTGTTGCCTTTCCATTTGGTGATTAGTGTGAAAGCCAGGTTTTAGTTTTAGCATCACATCCTGGCACTTCATATTGAGTGAGATTTATGCCGGGCGTCCAAAGTTGTCATCACAACATACATTTGAGATGTGAATTCTACAAGCTAACTGCCTTGATATCTGCCACATTTGTATAAATTGAAGGATTAATTGTATAAATGTAATAATATTGAGTAAATGGTTCGCAATATGTCTCTTCTGGAAAAGCTTTTTCTTAATGAGGTTTAGTGTGTGACAGCTGTAAGAGCTCTGAAGGCAGTTACTCATGAAAACAGTAGAAGCTTTTAATGGCCATTCAAATAACGTCCAATATTTTTGGCATAATAAAATTATTATAATAAGATGTAATTGATAATCATGTTCCATAAGCAGAACAGAAATTAGTAATTAAAAAAAAGCATTCCAGTGAGGACTGCATTTAACACAACTATTTACTTAAGAACATTTTTAGACAATTTCTTGTTATACAGAAATGTATGTTCATGTTTCTGAGCCTCATTTATGAAACAACCAGAACAAATTGTGTAAGTAGCTCATAAATTCATTCTAATGAAGGAGCATTTGTACAAACAATTTACACAAATTTGTTCCACTTTTGTTTCACGAATCAGTGCGTAAACTGGTACAATGCAACAATTTGTGCAAGAATGTTTTCATGGAGAGTTTACACAAATTCATTCTAATTCTATCAAATTCTCTCATTCTAACAAAAATGAATTTGTTCATTTTTTAAATGAACAAATACAACAAATTGTTAATTAAAGGGATAGTTCACCCAAAGATTTTGTCATCATTTACTCACCCTCAAGTTGGTAACTAAACTAAAATACTATGAAAGTCAATGGCTACCGTCAACTGTTTGGTTACCTACATTCTTCAAAGTATCTTACTTTTGTGTTCAATTGAAGAAAGAAACTCGTACAGGTCAAATTATGACAGAATTTAAATTTTTGGGTGAACTGTCCCTTTAATTCAGGTATCAGAGAAATTTTTGTATCTAACTTGTGAATATTTTGCTCAATAACAGTTAATATGTTGCAGTATCATTCAGTCCCTTCAGACTTCATGTGAATAGGCCTTTAGACTTTCCTGACAGAACAACCTCTTCTCAAACTCATTTTACAACAGTTTTTTATAAGCAAACAATCAAGACTTGTGAATCATGTCCTCTACAGTAGTGACTATGCATACACTTTCACTTTAAAAGACAAGCATTATATCTACTTTCATGCAAATCAACACATGACACAACTCTCAGGCAGTGTGTTAGTGTGGACACTTACATAATTGTCTCTGGCAGACCATCCTGGGTAAAGCTGCATATGGAGCTGCCGTTCCTTGCGGGCTAATTCGTAATACTTAGCTTGCTCTTCCCGAGATAAACCATGCCACTGTTCGGTGCAGAGGGAGATTAGAGAGGGGGGGGGGGGGGGGGGGGGATTTTTCGTGCGCGGGGGGGGGGGGGGGGGGAGTAGTCAATTACTGACATGCATTTTTAAGTTCCTTCCAAAGAGATGAGTGCTGGCGTTTGGCTAAAAATCCTTGTTAACTCTCAAATGTTGCGTGTGTGTAAATGTGTGTGAGTGCATGTGCACTCATGCCTGGGGGTGGAATGGAACATGATGAAGAGATTAACATATGCAGCGATGAGAGATCGGGGAAAAAAACCCCCACAAAACTTTGATTTCATATCAAAACACTGGTTCCAATTTATCTGCGCTTTACTTCAAACCATGTCAGGGTGCAATTACCCCACACTGCCGCAAAACAGTCCTTTGCTGTGGCTAGCTGCCTCAAACCACAAAGGCTTTGGTTAAAGCATTAAATATGTTTAACTGTTCCTCTTTTCCAATTCCAAAATGGAGGAACATAGATGCTACCTGCCCGAATTTCTGAGCTGCCAGCTTGTGTGTTGGTGTATTTGTTAAATTGAGTTAGACAGAAGTGCTAACTACAATAGACTCCTTTGTGAAGGAGGTCTCATGGCGCGAGTGACCCGTGAATCAGATACGTACCCTCCGCCCGAGGATCTGATTGATCGCGGCGCTCTCCTTCAGTGTGCATTCGGCCACCACATTGGCACGCATCTCTTTCATATACAGCATGAAAGCGTTTAGAGGTTTCTTAATGTGAGGTCTTTTGGGCTCCTGCTCCTTTCTCTGGTCATGATGAGGTTTCCTGGAGAAACAGGAGGAGGAAAGAGTTTTAAAAAAAAGTGGGGGAAGAATTATTAAGTGATACAGGGAAATACAAAGGGGGAAAAAATGCTCGGGGTGGTGCGAAAGCGGCTGCCACAGCGACGCCATGGAGTTTGAGAGCGCCGAATGTCTGATTCCAACCACGAATCGGAAGGCTGCATGAGAGAACAATCTGGGAGCCAGTGCTGAAAAGCTAGCAGTGGCTTTTAATTATGTCCAGTTGGGTGCTTTCATGCAAAGAGATTACTTCACCAGTAATGGCAACCAAACCTTCATATTCCCTCCAACTCTATGACTCCCAAGCCCTACAACTCCCAGTATTTCGCTCCCATTAGTGACCTGGACCTGATACCTTAAGCCAACTGCACGGCTGGTCAAAATCAGAAATAAATAATAAAATAATAAAAATCCAATAATAAAAATAACCGATAAACGGCCAATAATACATTTCTATACATATTCGTCTGAATAAATTAAAAATAAAACAAAGTAAAATCATGATGAGCCCTGCATACCAAAGAGAAGGGTCATGTTCACCGAAAAGTCCAGCTATGATATTTTAATTCAACTTTATGAGGTCAAAATTTTTTAAATAAAAATAAAAATTAACCATGCACAGATTAACTGTTCATGATAAGGTCTATAGCAGGGTTCCTCAAATCTTGCCCTGGAGGGCCAATGCCCTGCAGAGTTTAGCTTCAACCCTAATCAAACACACCTGAGCAAGCCCCTCAAGGTCCTCAGGATCCAGAGAAAATCACAGGTAAGTGATTTTTATCATGGGTTTGAGCTAAACTCTGCAGGCAATGGCCCTCCAGGACCGGATTTGAGGATTTTGATTGACACTGATCTATAGTATAGAATTAATTTTCATTTAATGCCTAGTTTAAACGTTACAAGGGAGTTCACAACATTATAGTGTACGGTATGAAAAATGGATATTCATTTTGAGATTTACTAAAGATTACATTTATCAGTGTTATTAAATTAACTAATAATTAGTTAACCATGTTAGATAATGGAAATGAGTACAAATAAATATACAATATCAGTCCATATCTCATATTAACCATTACTAATCAATTGAAAAAAAAATTATAAATATAAATAGAAAAAAATTATAAAATTAAAATGTATATGTATATAATATAAATATTGGCCAGTAATGAAAGCAGTGTAAATATATGTGCTATCAGGGAACATAAATGCATAGATTGTATTTTTAGCATGCTGTCTAAATGGGATACTCACATGTGCATCATGTCTTCGTGCTGTGGTTCATGTTTCACCTGTGGGTTGACAATGGCGGGATGGGGGATTCCCGTGGCATGGGGTCCAGGAGGGCCTGGTACCATGTGATGAGAGAACCTGATAGCAAAACATAATGTGTGTGGGTTAATGCGTTGTTCATTATCAACATCCTAACCTTCTTAACTTCATCTCTAAAATAAAATGAAATGAAATGAAATGAAATGAAATGAAATGAAATAAAATAAAATACTGGATTGCATGGCCTAATCATGAATAAATAAATAATAAACAAATAAAAAGGTCCGATACATCTTCACAATTTTTCTGGATTGAATGGCCTAATCACTAAGAACAAAAATAAAAAATAAAAAAATAATAAATTATATACACATATACAGTATATATAGCAGATGTATTAGAGCTATTTTTGTCAAGTTGAGACAATACAATTAGCTACATAGATTTATTTATTTCATACTTTTATTTATTTGTTTTTATACTTATAAGTATAAAAATAAATAAATAAATCTATGTAGCTAATTTTATTGTCTCAACTTTACACAAATAGCTCTAATACATCTGCTGACGAGCACTCAAAACCATTAGTTTCACGTTGTCATCAAAAAACGTTCTTTTAATTGTTACCATTTGGCCATGTGTGCACTCACCATCCCAGAGGAGGGGTCATCTGTCCAACTCCCCCAGGGGAAAGGGAGTAGAAATTGGGAATGTCCGGTCCAGGATGATGCCTGGGCATACCTGCTTCAGGATAAAAAAAAAGTGGATGAGAAAACGACATTGGCGTGTGTTAGTGTGAGATAGACACATCTGGAGAGCAGCAGTGTGGCATCAGTGTGTGCTGCACAGTTGGGCCCTACGGTCCGGTGTGGCGCATAAGCAGATCAGGGGATAATTAGGAATACTTTTGCGCTGTTCTAATAAGCCTTGCTGATATGATTCACGCTGCTTATGGATGTCAGTTGGCCTACAGTACTAAGCTTCTCAACTTCACTCCAAACACACGCATGCACGCTCACACATACACACATTTGCACCAAGGTCAAGACTGTGTTTCTGTATAAAGACTTAAATCAAGGAGGGAAAAAGTGAAGCAAGGCCCTAGGGCTAACTTAAACTGTCAAAGGGGCATCCATGTACGACAACAAAGCCCAAGGGATATATATATATACACACACACACAGCAAGAACATGCAGTTTAAAAACAACCCCTGCATCTCCAACTCATAATTTTTCTCTCCATTGTTTCACATGGAGCTCAAATTGTGCAGTCTGTTACAGCAAAAGACTAAAATGGGTATTGAATTACTGTTAACTACTGGCTAACATAATTTTCTCCTCCTGCGCAGCCTAGGTGACATCAGCGGAAAAGGAAAATCATTTAAGAGGCAGAGTTTGATGAAAGATTTTAAGATAAACACTTGTTCACAGTAGAATCAGGAATGTGTATTTAAGTGGCAAATAGGGTCTATTTTTGATTTAATGTCAACATTCTGTACTAAATGAAAGAATTAAATCATGAAACACTGCACATATATTCCAGAAACACATCTTGAAAAGGCTAATCGCTCACATTTTCTTCATGTAAGTGTATTATTTTCAATTCCACCCTCAGCATATTATGTCTGATGAATAAGTGACTCCATGTTTGTGTTTGTATATGAAAACAGAGCAAGTTTTGGGTCACTGGCCAATCTGCTGGTGGCATGCGGCCTCATTCAGGCTATTTATAACTCTCCAGACCTCCTCCACTTCATCACATCCTGCCTGCCCTCTCCCTCACCGGTCGTCACAGAGGTGAGCGTAAGCCAGAGGGAGCACATATGGAGTTGGGTTCGCGTGCAACAACGAATCTCTCTGGCTCTTTTAAACTTTAACCCCACCTCTTTACACTGACTTGGGGGAAAGAGGATTCTAGTGAGAATGAGATTGTCTCTTCGGATCAGTGATAATAGAGAAAGAGTGCTTAAAACACCAGGAAATAACATTACAACACATAGAAACAGACTTAAAGGAAAAGTTCACCCAAGACAATCATTCTGTCAGCCTCATGTCTATCTAATCCAGCATTTATTTCTTCTGTGGAACACAAAAGAATATATTTTGGAGAATGTTGGTAACCATCCAGTTTTGGTCACCATTGACTTCCATTGTACTGACAAAAAAACACTGACATTTCTCAAAATATTATATTATGTTTCACAGAAGAAAGTCATGCAGGTTTGGAAAGACATGAGGGTGTAGTAAAATTACAGATTTTTCAATTTTGGGTGAAAAAATGAAAATGCCCCTTTAAGGGACAAAATAAAATTGAATACATTTTGAACCATACTGTATCTGGTTTCCCTTTGTTTTTAGAATATTTATAAAATTATAAATTTAAATATTAATAATAATAATAGCTAATAATAATTTGCCTATTCAAAAAAACGTCTCTTTTCCGTGGATGTAACCAAAAAGATAATAAATGTATATTCTTTTTTATAAAAATAAAAAATATTAACCAATAATATCGGAGCCTACATTTCAATTCAGTCAAATCCCAAAGAATAAAATCTACATAACTCTACATAATTCCCCACTGAACATTCTGTTTTACTCAAAAATGTCAAAATAGATTCAATGCTTTTAGTTAAAAGTGATGCCATTTTTTTAATGTTACATTACTTAGCCTAACTTAATGTACAGATTCAACTAAAAGTATTCCACTTTGTACATTGATTTCTCTGAAAATCAGACGTGATTGGAGGTGGGACTATCTGTTTTCTGTCTTTAAGTCATAGTTCTAAATTGTGGTTGTAAATGACTTTAATAATGTGCAATGAACTGGAGTGTATTTGTGCAGTTTGAATGCGTTTACCTTGCTTGGAATTGATGTCCTGTGGGTGATGTCCCGAGTGTGGGCCAGGTGCGAAGTGCTCATCGCTGTATGTGATCAGAGGGGTGAGGGGGTGAACGGCATGGGACGGCTGGACCACTGGCACCTTATTTGACTGCAAAACACAGAGGGAAAAACTGATATTGTAACAACTTCAAATGTGACCGAGGCATTCAGACTAAGAACAAATGGGCAATGAGCCACCAAAGTTGAGCACCTCACCAATGATGATGTGTGGATTGTGTACTGCAGTATTTTGGGGCAGAAACGAATGAATAAAGAAGGGGGTTGGGAGAGACGGAGTGTGGGTTAGAGGAGGAGAGAATGAGAAACAGGGAGGGAGGGAGGGAACGCCACAGGGCAGAGGCAGACCAGAGGTCTCGGGGCTGAAGATCAAAGGGAATCATTAGCCAGTGAATAAGGGAGTTCATCACAGAGCCCCGACCGTCTGCGGTGGAACTAAGCAGGGTTAATCACGTCAGCAGCGGACTCAACACACACACACACACACACACACACACACAGATCTGATCTGACTCACAAAGCAATGCTCAGCACACCACAAAAGCACATCAAGTACACGGTGTTCAAGAACATGTAGCAATTTTTCAGATAATTGGTGAGCTTCTCCTTTACCTGGCCTACAGATGATCTATTTCTGTCTTATGTCTAAAATTGTGTATTTTTGAGATGTAAAATGCAAAATATCTTAAATGGCAAACTCTGGATTTGCATTGAGCCTAAAGTCAAAGTTGGGGGCTTTGGATCAATTTTAGAATCATGGTGGAAACTAATTTGGTACCGGTCATAAGCTGTAACCGTGAATTTTGACTATATCATTTAATTTGTATGCATTTGTGTAACTCGTGGTTACTATAGATAACTAAACTGAAACAAACATTAAAACCATGAAAAAAAAAAGTTATTACTTCAAATAAGTTAAATAAATAAAAATAAAAGTTGTAACATATCATTTTCAATTAGTATAACTTGATGTACTAAAACTAAAACTGAAATAAAAAATGAACAAAACTACATTAATCTTATGTCTAAAATTGTGTATTTTTGAGATGTAAAATGCAAAATATCTTAAATGGCAAACTCTGGATTTGCATTGAGCCTAAAGTCAAAGTTGGGGGCTTTGGATCAATTTTAGAATCATGGTGGAAACTAATTTGGTACCGGTCATAAGCTGTAACCGTGAATTTTGACTATATCATTTAATTTGTATGCATTTGTGTAACTCGTGGTTACTATAGATAACTAAACTGAAACAAACATTAAAACCATGAAAAAAAAAAAGTTATTACTTCAAATAAGTTAAATAAATAAAAATAAAAGTTGTAACATATCATTTTCAATTAGTATAACTTGATGTACTAAAACTAAAACTGAAATAAAAAATGAACAAAACTACATTAAAAAAAAAATTCTTAAAACCTATGAATATGAAAACGGAAAATATAAAAAATAAAACTCTTTCAAAATATTAATAAAAACTACAATAATATCTCTGATACTAAAATAACATTGGTGTAGCTTTGATGAAAAACAGCAATAAAGTTTGCCAGAAAAGTTTACGAGGAGCAAATCTATTTACCATTGAACAGTGTGGTAGAATGAAATAGCACATTTAATGCACATCCTTTGCCCTTCATTTAGTTGCACTAGCTTTAAAAAGTGTTCTATATTTGTTAGGAAGAGCAAAACGAGAGAAAAAAGTAAAAAATATTACCTAATAAATCTAATTTATTCTGACCAAAGTCATTTGAACACACATTACATTTGTTCACTGAGTGGGAAATTCCCAGGAGGACTTAGGAAGCTTATGATCAAACCAAAAGCATTTTAAAAAATGATTAAAATGTCCTATGAAATCAATCTAAATGCAAAAACAAACATGAACTCACTTAGAGAGAAAAGTGCAAAAAACAGTTATTGATTGTATGCTGTTCCTAAGGTTAATCTGTATTGAATGTTCAACCGCAGAACTTGCGAGAGAGGCGAGACGGGTAAGAAGTGGCCCACCCGTGCCACAGGCAAAACTCCCACAGGCATGAACGAGCGGTTTGTCCAAATTTGGGAGCAAAGTTTGCTGTTTCCAACCAGCTAATTAGCCAGAGAGGCAGGTGTAGGGTGCCATTTCCTCGGCAGACGTACTGCTGTAAACCCACGGGGCGGAAGGAGTGTGTGCGTCTGCGCTTGGGAGGGGGGGTTATTTTGGAGTCTCCCAGACACGGGACAGAAGCCGAGCGGGGTGACGATGATATGAATGGCATTCTCTGGAAAGATCTGAGCTTTGATAACTTTCAACAACACTCGGAGTTCCAAAGACATCAGAAATGCCTACATTTTCCAATGCATTTTTGGGATTCTTGAGTGTAAGCTGATGATACACAATTGTAAATTTCTGTATTAGTAAATGCTTTCGAAAATGACAGATGTAGGACAGTGTTTCTCAACCAGGGGTCCGTGGACCCCTAGTGGTCCTTGACATAAGGCCAGGGGGTCCGTATAAAGTATGAATTTTTGTATACATTTTGTATATTTTGACATGACATGTTCCCATGAAAGAAAAATCCAATATAGCTGATGATATGGCCAAATACTGGACAAGTCACCTAACTTGAATTATACATTAGACTGCATTTGGTCCTCACAAAGACACAAAGGATACATAGATGAGTGAGTTTTGTTCTGGGGGTCCTTGAGGATGGTTCTGAATTGGACTGGGGTCCGGTACGCCAAAAGGTTGAGATTCACTGATGTAGGACATGCTCCTGGATCCTTTGAAAAACAAACATAGTCCTAACCCTATCCCTAACCCAAACCCTATAAAATCAAAGCAAATGTTAGGTTGATAAGGTTATTCAAACCCCAAGCCCTAAACGAATCCCTAAAATATGCTGGGAATGTTGTTCCAAGACCAACAAGGATGTTGATCCAGGAGTATGTCATATTTGGCTAAATCAAGTAGGGGTATAGCAGCTATTATAATTAACCACTTTCCAAAGGTTATTCCACCCTGCTTTTTGGGTAATAATAATAACTTAAACATATTATTTTAAAAACTTTGCTTTACTTCAGTGCAAAGGAAACAAACTGCATCCAGCTGAAATATCCATTTTGAGACCAAGAACAAGCCTCTGCCAACCGGTCCCATCTGCAGTCAAGCGAACAAACTCGCAATTGGTACTGGGTGAATGTTATGTACCTAATTAATATTCATGAGCCAGACTGACAAGAATTACCATGGGTCAGATTCTGTGCCACAGAAATGTTGACCGACACCTAAAGCCGATGATTATTTGTATGATAAGACAGTGATTACCAGGTGAAATCACATGCTTAACATGAAACTGGGGAATAGAATAGAATTGTTTTTAATGTTGTAAAAAAAGAAAAGAAAACAATATTAAGAAATTAAAAACAATAATAAAACATCTGCTTTGATGTTTTAAGAAGCAATAAAATACTTTTTTAAAAATTAAATTATCTTATTAATAGTTCAGTCCAGTATGCGATTTAAATACGGTTAAACTCTTGGTCTGAGGTGATGGCTAATCTGGACGAGTAGTTTTTAAAAGGGTCTTATCCTACCTTAAGGAAGCCTTATCCCTGACTCTGCCTCATTACTAATATGTGACTGGGGGCCAGTAGCTACTGAAAAAGGTCCTCACTGGAAGACTGCATGATAGCATCCTTACCCCCTCTTCATTTGACGCCTCTCAGCTCTTTTTGGCTTTTCCTCTGGGAGAGAGATAAGAGGCAAGCATATTTTTCATTTAAGCCCCTAGTCTCTGTCTCGGAGTAAAGAAGAAAAAGAGATACTGAGTAGTGGAGGAAAAACTTAAAACAGTTTGCGTTAAGGAGTCCATGCAAGCATCACGCAAAAAACACCACGACTCTCCAGAATGACAATACGGGGTCCTCGACTTACGGCAGCTATGAAAAGTGGGAGTTGGCACTTTGCGTTCCACCTTATTCGATCGGGGCCTCTTTTAGGTCCTCTCAGTTGCAGCTGTCAGAGCCCATTTCTCTCAACTTCTTAATAAACTGCCATCTCGGCGCATTGCATAAAGCTAAAATTCCAGCAGGGAACCTCAAGACTGCTGTGCCAATTTTCAGGGGTCCCCGAGGCACAACCTCAAAAAGCATCCACTTTTCCGAAAAAAGGCAAAAGCAATAACATGTCAAATTTAAAATACATTTAGCCTTCCGAAAATGTGGTTGCCTTTAATAAACTAAGAGAGGGCTTGGTACTTTTGGCTTTCCGTGGTCTTAAATAAAAGTCACGCAGAGTGACTCACCGCCACTCAAGGCTATTCAAATCCTTCCAGGTGGTTTGAGATCACGAGCTGCGCCACCCCGTTCCCAACCCGGCTCAATGACGTATTAAATTAAAAACACTTTCACACAACCCGACCAGGAAGTGGCCGGACACCCCAGCTGACCACAGGAACCCGGGTCGGATGGTGCCATGGGGATTTATCCCCAAGGATCCCTCAGAGTTTTCACAGGCCAGGGTGGCAGGATATAGCATGGACTTACCTCCCCCGTTCTCTCTTTTATTATGAAGAAAAATAATAGGCTTAGATCCTTCTATTCATATTTGCAAAGAGGCGGTGCCGATTGAAAAGAAGCATGTCCATTTAGGATTTTATAAGCAGGTCTGGCCAAGCCTGCCTCTAGAGCCCCACAGATGTGGTTTTAAAAGAAGTTTCATTGTGCAGAACTCAAGCTGGCTGAGGGCCTGCAGAAAATCCAGAGGAAAGAGGGAAAAGCTAGAGTTCAGGAAATAGCAAAATTGGGAGTTGGGAGACAAAATGGACATGGTTCAGTTCAACAACCTCTCCATGAAAGCACCACTACTTCAACCAATCAGCACGGAACGCTGAAGACTAATGTCCAGCTGGTAACCCTTTTCTGAATTTTCCCAGAAAGAGTTTTACCATCCAGACATGACTTTCCTATCCTAAAACCAGTTCTGCAATCATCCAAGCACCGTCTGCTTTCCTTCCCAAAACCGACCCAGGCTCATTGGAAAAAACATGCCTGTGGCGACATTTCTGCAAAATTATATTACGTTGCTTCTTGCACGTAATATCATTTTGC